AATAATTATATAATATTTATTACATATAAAAAAGTAAAGTATTATTGAAATAATTGAATTATACGGGGGTTAAAATCTTCTAAAAAATGATTTTCCCTTGATGAGATATTTTAATATAATAATTATAGATAGATGCACGCTCGAATGACTCAGTTTCTTTGCCTAGAAATCTTCGGTAGGTATTTGTTCCCCATATTTGTAATTTCACTTGGAAATTAAAACTTTTATTGAAAGCTTAAATAATTAAGATAATTATTTTTTATATGATACTATTTTGAATTATCTTTATCTAAAATTTAAATTATTAAATAAAAATAAATAAATTTATTTAAAGTTTATCATCGACCAAGTCGTTTGCTAAAAAAGAAATGGAGAAGCTCCTATGCTTTGTAAAATGAATTGAGGACCACCAGATTTGAGGTGTTGACCAATAAGAAGAATATTATTGATTACCTTGTTGAAGATTATATGCACCATCCATATTGGATTCTTGACTTCAGTCTGAGGCGCACTTGAAGAAATGCTATTGGTAAATAGTCACAATTTTAGCAATAAAAGCCTTTCATCTTTCTTGGTATGAGCATTAGTTATAGATCGATTGAGTTAAGATAAATCCGTATTAATGTTCGGTACGCACTATCTTTTGTCAGATTGATTGATATAACATAAACCCATATAAGTTCATTATTAATTCTTGAAGTTGTACAATCGAGTGATTTGATTATGATATTAAAGCATAGTTTGGTGCAAAGCAATTCTTAAAAAAGTAGAACTCATCCATGTATCCCCACTCATGATTCAGCTATAGGAATCTTCAAATTGTCAACTTCTGAACAGCACAAACCATACACATGCTACACGTATCTTTAATCAAAAACTAAAAAGTCATTACTTTAATCTTCATAGTTGAAGCAGCTTTTGAAACATCATCTACATGAATGTGAAATGTCTACTCATCTTCTGCAAGTTTATCCAAAATCTTAACATTTTTATGTTGGATTGCATTTTGACATTGCAGAATTTGTCAGCTGATTTAAATATTCGAGTCTTCTAGATTTTGGTTAGATTTTATTTTATTTTTTAATCAAAAGTTAAATAAGTACATAACTTTTAGAGTAAATTCAATCAACCATTTGTTACACTCTTGTTCCTAATTTCTAGAACTTGATACCCATGTCCTCTGCCAAAAAACATTTATCTGAACGTTAAGTCACATGGCGATGTTGGGTTGAAAGATTAAAATCATTAAAACACGGTCACTTCAACTTCCATTTAAATTTTGAATAGGGTAAAATTCTTAGCGTTTTTGAAACATATCCTTGCCTGAATTCATCTTTGACATCACGTGAAGGACGCGAAAGCTATTTGACGTTCACATAAACGTTTTTTTCTTGTTAGTTCGAGACGTGGATGATGTAATTTTAAAAGATTGTGATTTTTACGAAATATTAGAAACCCCTTATGATATTTACCTAACTTTTACAAATGAGCGACTGTAAAACTTAAATTTAAAACTTTTATTTGTCCTGATACTAAGAATTTTATTAAAATATATCGTCTATATTTTAAAATAATAAAAAATAAATAAAATTATTTATTTAAATTACGTCTTTATCGGGATTGACAGGCCTTAATTTCAAAGTTGTCCTTAATGGGATGTCACCACTAACCTTGGCAATTACTGTGGACACAAATGACTTTGTTTAATGATGTGGTAATGGGTTAGGACAAGCGCATTTGTTTTATTCGATAACCCATGTTTTTACACTGTTTGATTGTGTACAATAAATTTTTAAATAGTGCCATTACTATAGAATTTTAATGCAAGTTGATTGTCCATGCTAATTAAAATACATAAAATAATACGAATTAAAGGAACATCATGTTCTGGCCCCCCAAAGTTGACCTCCCAATACGACATCTAGAAGCTGTCTATTTTTTTTATTATTTTTTTTTTCGTTTTTTTTAATGATAAAGACACACACATATACATACAGTGTATCACAGAGTCCAATTGCTTTACAAAAGAAAGACAATAAGTGCAACATATTTTTGATGCATGTTAATTTCCACAATGTCACTATTGTTGATTGCCACTGGACCTACTAGTGGGAAGAGACAATTTAATCATAATGAAAATTAAGAAATGTTAGTTTTAACTTTTAAGTGGATCTAGCCATGCACAAATTAATCATAATTTTATTTTACTGGTTTTTAATTAGGTTTAAATATGTAGAATTTAGTTCTTGCAATAACGCGAAGAGAGTTACTTTTAATATTTAAAAAAAACAGATATTCCAAAAAAATTTTAGAGGTTTTAACTTTTAACTACACTGATTACATCTCCTGATGTGAATATTATAAAGAGAAGTAAATTGTAACGAGCCTGATTAACTCTTGAGATACTTCTTCGATCCGAGCCATATGGTCGCAGGCAGGGTTGACCAGTATTAACCCATTGACAAATAATTTAAATAATATCCAATCAAGACTTGTATATGAACTCCTACTCAGCAGATAGGGACACAAAGTATTGAATACCATTTTCCAACCATCAAAATAGAATCAAACTCCATTAGGGCATTTCAATATTATCTGGAAAATCACTGTACAAGGCATCAGCATGAGGTTTTATTTAATGGAATTTCCTTGTTTTTAGCTCTGTGCATATCACTACCTAATACTAAATAGTTTAACTTGCTTTTTAAGTCATTATTTTGGTGTTATTGCAGAAGCTGAAGATTGTTGAAGATAGAACAGATTTAACAAAAGAAAATATGGGTTTTGGATTTGGTTTTCTTGTCCACCTTTTTTGCTCACTACTTGTGTTGCAGGTAATGTTTTGTTCCTTCTTTCTGCACTATAACTCCATAAACTGCATGTATTTTTTGCTAAATTTTAAGCCATGGAATTTTAGATTTCAAGTGAACTTATGTTGATTTATTGATTTGTTGATGAATAGCTGTGTTTTGAGTTTGAGTACATCGTATGCTTTTGTATTCGAATTCTTTCCTTTTTCAGACTACGAACTTTTATCTAATTTTGACACCATTGCAGCTTCTCGAGATGACTGAAGTATATGGGGAAAATATCGAAAGAGTGGGTTATAATAATCATCTTCGAATTCATGCCGGTAGGGATGAAAATTCTGGGAAGAATTTACATGAATATTCAATGTCACATACGAATCACTTGGATCCTGAACTAAATGTGTTCTTTTATATCAATGAACTTAAAGTTGGGAAGAAAATGCCTATCTACTTCCCAATAAAGGACCCTTCAACCTCTCCCCCTTTACTGTCCAAAGAAGAATCTGATTCTATTCCCTTCTCATCAGAAAAACTTCCCTATATTCTTCAACTATTCTCCTTTCTAAAGGGCTCAAAACAAGCCAAAGCAATGGAAAATACCCTTCAACATTGTGAATTCCCACCCCTTAAAGGAGAAACCAAGTTTTGTGCCACCTCTTTGGAATCCATGCTCGACTCAACTAGATCCATATTCGGATTCAAGGTCAAATTTAAAGTTCTTACAACGACTCATCTTACAAAGTCCATTACCCTTCTGCAAAATTATACTATCTTGGAAGTGCCCGAGGAGATTTTAGCTCGTAAAATAGTGGCATGTCACACGTTGCCTTATCCTTACACGGTTTTTTATTGCCATAGCCAAGAAAGTGATAACAAGTTGTTTAAGGTTTCATTGGTTGGGGAAGATGGAGGAAGAGTGGAAGCTGCTGCAATTTGCCACATGGATACCTCACATTGGGATCCCGAACATGTCTCGTTTCGCGTGCTGAAAACTCGACCAGGTGCCTCTCCGGTGTGCCATTTCTTCCCAGCTGATAACCTTATTTGGATTCCAGTAGTCTAGTTACAGAAGTGTGCATGTTTATATGTGTGTTATAGCACAAAATGCTATAGGCATGAAATACTTTTATCTTATTATGATGGTTGTATCTTAAAGAAGCTGTGTAATCCTGTGTTTGCAATGCTACGGGAGGTTTTTGGGCAAAATCTTTTGAATAGAAGTTACATTTTTACTTATAAGTTAAAATAAATGCTTATGTTGAAAATAAATTAACAACTTTAGTTTTAGAAAAGTTATCTCGTATATTCAAGAAAAAATGGTGGAAAACCCCCACATATTAAACAAAAACAACAAAAAAAAATGTATAATTTAAGTACATTCTTGGAGCAAGTGTTCCTAGACGAGAGATGTACATTCTTGTATAAAAGAACATGACACACGAACTGTATCAGTTCGTGCACCTGGAAAGAGGGAAAAAAAAAATAAAAATTGAGGTGATGAAAAAAGTGAAATCAAATTAGCTGATTTGAATTGATGGAAGCATCATAAGTACCTTTGGTGAGTCCACATGAATTGCATAAACAAACTATAGTATAATTGTATAAATACCCATGCTTTAAAACCCGGACTAGACGTTGACCCAGAAAACATGAAAGGTTAAGGATTCAACCGGGATGCAACCGGCAAGCCCAAAGCGGTTTTCAAAACACTGATAAATACACAGTAGCTGAAATTGATCATTGACTCGAGTTATTAATCCTCATCTGAAGGATTAATTATGAACTCAGCATGCATATGCCAGTTTCTGGTTTCCAATAAGAAAGAACATAAAAAAGATAATTGCAGAACACAAGACATATCACGTTCACCTTTGAAATATCCTAAAATGTATATCTGTAAGACGTGTTGTGCCAACAAAAGATCTCATTTTCTAGGAAAGCTAGTACAGGTTCAATACAAAAGCAAGTGATCAATAGAGATTTCTATTTGTTATGTACATTGGCCCCTTGAAAAAGTTAAAATCACTTTTTTGAACTTGTAAGATTTCCATCTCCAAGAACGAGAGAAAAGTTGTAAATGTTTTTCAAGAGGCACCAGGGAATACCATAATAGAACTCTTAAGAGTGACTTAAAATAAATTACTAGGTCTACGTTGTTTTCATTTTCCATCCCTCTTTTATGTATCTTACCATCAAAAATCTTATTATTTATCCCTTTACTTCCACTTCTACCAAGGGAAGACAAAAATAACTCATTCTGAGACAATTAGCGCAATTAGTGTCATTCTTTAGGAGGATAGACATACCATAGTTTTGGCGCGCCATTGTAAACCCATGAATTGCCTTTAGTAGGGAACCAAAATTCATAGACTTTAGCGATCCCATATGCCTGACACAAAAGGTAAAATCCATAATTCAGGGTCCAAATTTGTTGAAGTGTATCAAAAGGTGTAGTTTGCTCCCAAATGAAATAATCAACTGCAAATTCGTTGGTCTAGATTGAACCGCAGAACACCCGTGAATATTAGTCGGATAAGAAAGAAGTTGCCATTTACTTTGGCAACAGCAAGGGAGACGCAGCCTACATGCAGATAATTCTGTTTTATTTTTTCTGTTGGGAAGGGGGCGCTGTTTATCCCAAGGTTTGAGAACTAGCATGCTCAAAGTTAAGTTATGTAATTTTTCAGACTATATATAAACAGATTATTTCTTTGTGCATCAGCCCCATTTTTTATGAGTATGTAATAGTGATTTTTTGGAGAATGAATGGTTAAAAAGTAGGAAAAATCGTGAATTTACGTGTAAAATTATTCTATTGGAAGAATGCGATTGAAAATGAGTTTTTATATAATGAGACTCAAACAGTGTATAAAAGAGCCCAATATATTATCATTTCTCAAGCACAAGTTTGCTCGGATGTTGATACTGTAACTGAAAAGAGGAAAATGTAATAAGCTATTTCTCCGGTAAAAAATGTATACTTTGCAAGTCCAAGTTCCCCGTCTCCATGTACAAGAAAAAAGTAGCAAAGACGTTGCTTAAGTATTACATCTAGTACTCACACAATCTCAGTGTAACTCATTCTCCAAGCTGGAAAGCCTAGAAGGGATCGGGCAGGCCCATATATCAACATGAGAGCAGGTTCTGTTCCTCCCCATCCTAAAATCACCAAAAATATGTGAGTGAGTTTGTTAAATCGATAGAACTACTAGTTGGTGTTTATTTCTTTCGAATAATGAGGGGAAAAACAGATACGGAGTTGGGGAACATGGAAAACAGCAAACCTATAGATGTAAGAGCTTCAGCCATGTCAGATTCTTTCGGATTCAGCTTCTCTGCATTGGAACTTGAATAGTGCTTCTCAAAAAAGAAAAATAGCTGCTTTAGCAACTGCTTCTTTCCCATCAGAAAATGAAATGAGTTCGACATTCATGTACTTCTGACCATTTGTGGTAGTTTCCTGCACAAAGTTGGCTTAATTTTGCGCAAGCATCTATCCGTAATGGCATTCAGGTGACACAAAGGTACATTACACTGACATTTTTGTTTTTCTTATCTCCGATGGATTATTTCGCTTGGAAACAGGGATTATATTTTGCCGTATATAATCAGAAACAAATTATTTTATGATATTATAATTAATTATCTAGTAACCGAAAAATTGCACACAAATGCAGAGGCATTGTAGCTTGTATGGGATGTTTGTAAGCTAGAACAGAGAAAAAGTAGAACTGGAAGACATTACCTTGAACATTTTATCACTTTCGTAATGACTTCTTCTGAAGATTTCAGTACTCCCATACAACATGAGAATGGAATCACTATCATAATAATAGAAGTTGAAGAAAACATATTATTGAAACTTCTCAATGGTAATTTCATGGAGTCATGGCACATGTACCTTCCATATCATAGAGGCATACATTTTTCTAACCAATAACTGCTAGCCATCGCAATAGCTCAGGAACTTTTGGAGTCTGAAAAGCTTCTTCACTATCCATAACGATTGCCAGTTATTGAACTTTGCTGACATAAATGGTTTTATACCTCATCAAAAAACTACTCGAAATAAGATTTCTCTCCAGTGCATTATTCAGCCGCAGCAAAAAGTACAAAATGTTGACGATCACAAGAATGATGTGCCAGGGTAAACGACGCCCAACGTTGTCGTACTATGGGGAGTTCCTAAAAAAAAAAAAAAGGGAAAAGAAAAAAAGAAAAGATAGTTCTCAAATGCATTACTCAGCCGCAGATAAAAGTACCAAATGTTGACAATCAAATGCATGATGTGCCAGAGTAAACGATCTCTGAGATTACCACTCTAAAGATTATAAAAGACAAATTCATATCTTATGCATAATTAGATAAACAAAATTCATAAAGTTAGAAGCGGTTAACCTACATAGAAGCAACTAGCTAAGGACTATTTTCTGAGTCTGAATGCCCTATTGATAGATCATGTTGAAAAACCACTCACATAAATAGGACAGTGATCGAGACTAGCCTTCATTTATTTATTAATATTGGAAGTTACATATTCTCATATCATGATTTTGTGATTGAAAAAACACAAAGCGTGTATTGATAAACAAGTGAAGATAGAGATTTTTCAAGTTGTTCGAGTGACAAAGTTGACAGTGTTCTATTTTCTAATGATTAGCAGCATAGATAAACGGTTCTAAAGGATTGTTGCATAGTAAATTTCCAGCTCCAGATGTGTGAATCAAGACAAGCCAGTATACAAATAAATTTCTATAGAACAGATTGTGTTAATTTAAGAGTGGTTCAGGTCTTGAGACAACTGGTGTATGTGTCTTTACTATAAGAAACGGCAAATAAATCTAATTCTAAACTATTAGCTTTCAGTATAAATCTGCATATCACTTGCAAGGCAACAGCAAACGTAAATGTAAAAAAGAACTCAATAGCACAAAATATGAACTCCAAAACACCACATGAACGGGGCTTACCTATTGGAGGAGTAATGAAACCCTAAAGCCTGGGTGACCTTTTTTCTTATTGTTTATTAAAACTTTCATTATCTAAGCTTATATATCCCATTCTGAAAATCAATCAGCAATAATGGTATTAATTCAATCAATAAAAACAAAAAGAAGTCCAATCACTCACTGAAAACATCCACCTGTTAATCTTCTGCATTTCATCCCCTAAATCCAAAATTCTGCAAATACCCCAATAAAAGGGTTGTTATTAATCAGTTTCTAACTTTCTATATTAAACTAAATATGCCAAGAAGATAATCAACTACGCAGATAAGTTGTAATTGCAAGCATTAGTAGCAAAATTAAAGGAAATTAGAGAGAGTATCCAACGTTGATTCAATCCAGCGAATGAACATGAGGAGGTGCATAAAATCAAGGTCCAGCATATCTACTTCGGGGAAAATTAACAGAATATTACAGCAACCTAGAAGCAGAGATGTGGCAGCCAGCTGGAAGCTAAACAAATCAGTTACACAGCTGGACGTTAGTTTATTTTTAGGGTAGTTAGTCATCCGCGTGTCAGTTTTGTATTGAGTCTTGTAAATAGATTGATAGTAAGCTGCCTATTTATACTACGATGATGTAAAGTTCATTTTCATGGAAATTAGATCAGTCAGATTCTTTTCCTTTCTCCCAATATGGTATTTGTGCATTAAGATACTAAATCATATTTGTTATTTTTCATTTTCACTAAGATTCTGATATTCCGAGCAACATCGTCATGTCAAAAGGAGTTCCTGATTTTGGTCAATCAAGCAATTCCTCGTCAACGAGTCATTCCGCCATTGATGATGGTTCCGGGCTTTATTATTTGCATCAGTCGGATGGTCTAGGCTTGATTCTTGTCTCACAACCATTAACTGGAGACAATTATGCCTCATGGAATTGATCTATGATGATTGCATACGTTAGAACGCATTAAGGCCCTATTTGACCCACATTCTTTAAAAAAAAATATTCTTAGACAGTAATTTGAATAATACATTTTTTAATAAAATAATATTATAAGCAAATATAAAACTTTTCCTTATTTTTTAACCACACATTTTCCATCAATACACTATTAAAAATGCTTTCTCATGAAAATAATGTGGCTCAAACAAGGGCTAAATTTTAGATTATTTATATGACTGCACATGTGATAAATATTATTCCCTACATATATTACACATGTTAATTTTACCGTATCTAAACTTAGGAGTTGTTTGAGT